TATTGATATATTCCATGACAATTCAATAAAAGAATATGTAATGAAAGCAAGACACAGCGTAGGTTGCAATGACAGAGGTGTGGGTGAATTTTTAAAGTGGCAGAATTTGCAATCAGTTAGGAGAGCTATAGATTTCTTCATCTGCATATAGTTAGGGAAAACTGGTAAAAGAATCAAAGTATTTACTCCTTAAACATCATTGGTCAGCAGAGTGAAAATCACTCCCTCTCTGAGAGCTGCTTGGTGGCAGCATGGAATGGAAATGGAAACACTCAGTTGAGTTTCTCTGGCATGGTGCAGGTTTCCTTGTTGCTCCTCAGCTCCGGGCCCATGAGTCCACAGGATTTGGCCTACAAGCAACCACAGTTACAGTGGTTTCCACCTCCTTTAATTTCCCCAAAATCCTGAAACAGGCTGTGTTTAGAGGGGTGATAAGGATAGCAGTTAAACAGAGGGTGCAGATGGAGTTGATCAGGGAGAAGGCTTCATTTACTTTCAGGCAGCAAGGACCTTCACTCTCCCCCTGGAATTAATGCCATGAAAGCCCTTTTTAAACAGACAAATTATGCATCAGTAGATCAGTAATAACTGGGCACCAGTATTATTTCCCCTCAGAAAGCTGCCGAAGGGAATCGGTCTGCAGGACATGCTACATCTCTACATCTGTTCAGGAGTATCCTACTGGTGCAGATCAGTCTTGTGACACCAAATTTGCAGCACTTTCAGCTGCTGAGGAGCTGACCCAATTATTTCCACTATTTCTTCATTAGCAGCTGCTGCAATGCAAGTTCTTTCCAGTGGGACATGAAAATCACAAGAGTTTCTTGCTGAATCACAAAGCAAAGCAAAAACAAGGCACACATCACAGGGTTTGAGAATCTTAGAATAATTTGGGTTGGAAAACACCTCTAAGAACAGGGCCCAACCATTAATTTGGCACTGCCAAGCCCATCACTAAACTATGTTCCCAGGTGCCATACATATAAGATTTGTTAAAATCCCTCCAAGGATAGTGATTCACCACTTCCCTGGGTGCCAGTGCTTGACAACATGTACTGTGCCATGTACACAGCCTCACCTGCCATGGCTGAAGGACATGGCACCCAAGAAAGATTTCAATGTCAAGACAATAATGATGCTGATGGATGGGAATGATGAGTTGCCTTAAACCAGCAAGGACAGCACCTTCGTTTTGGAGATCCCAAAAAAACTCCAGAGTTGGGATTCAGAGCTTGCAATGCAATCCACGTCAGTTTTACAGCTGTGCAATCGCCTTGGAATGAAAAGTCCAAGGCTGGAAATCCAACCAGTGATACCATGGACCTGAATTTCCTTCCCAATGAACCCAAGAGGAAAACTGCATGGGCTGCATCTTGTTGTAACATGGAACAGGCACCATCTGCACTAAGCACTTGGTTATCTCCAGGGTGTTTTTTGAAAGCCTAGAAAACCATCCATCAGCAGGTGCTTTTGGCTTAAAACCTGCAAGACACTTTTCAACATAAAAATCCGAATAATACGCTCGGAGGGCTCCTGCATCACCATACCCTGGGGTCACTCCCACCATTAACAGCAGTGGGAACAAATCCATCATAGAGGTCCAGCTCCTGCTAGTTGTGCTCCAGCAGGGAACACATGACAGCTCTAATCACACAGTTCAGGGACTGCTGGGTGTTAGCAAATACCTGCTTGCTTCTGCCATGCCAAGGAAGCAGGCAGCAAACTCTGCTTCTTGATGGTTTGTTGGTCAGCATCAAGGATGAGCACAGACCTGAATTCCAAATAGATCTAATTTTCCAGCTGGTCATCTGCACCAAACAGCAGGGCCTGGGGCTTACCAGGTTTTCAGAAAAAGGGAATGTAATAAATGTACTTAAATATATACACACATATCCATCTCTATATGCTCTGGGTAGATTAAAAGGTTTCTCACTCAAAAAAAAATGTTCACGTCATTTTCACATCTTTAATGACTTCAAAAAACATTTTAATATACAACATACGGCTGAAGAAACAGATATTTTCCTTTCTCAAGCATCATCCCAGGCAATATTTGGGGTTTTTTTTAACCAAAGCAATTCATCAAAACTGCCATGAAAATAGAAATATTGTTGACCATCCAAATATTAAATATCCCCACAAAATGCCACAGACAAAGCTCCTGGCATCATACTCATTGTGCAAATCTGATGTCTCGGCACCCATCCTGCAAAAGCCCAGTTTGCATGTGCTACATTCACATTGCTAAGTTATAAAGAAAGGGCTGCAGATGCTGCTGGGGGACCCGGTGCTGCCTTTTGGGAGGATGCTGTTCCTCCCCACCCCCTCAAACCACTGCCACACCATTAATGACTTTCTCAGCACAGCTGCTCCGAGCATACACACACACATCCCTTTTGCATTCGTTCTCACAAAGCTGCTCACACAGATACAACCCATCAGCAAAATGTAAAAATAACCGAAAACACATAATTAGGGTGGATGCACTGTGGATTTAATAGGGTTTTTCTATTTCTTCCTTTGCTGGCTCATAAGGCACAAATCCTGGATGGAGAGAGGCTGATGGGGAGGGAAAGAGAGAGCTTTGCTGTGGTATGTTTGGCAAAACCCTCAAATATTTTTCTCAGTTTTATATTGTCTGTATTCTTTATTGAGCACTACAGAGAAATTGCAGCAGATTGATTCTTTCACAGCTCCCCAAAGTTGAAATGCTTTGGAGCCAAAAGCTCAATTCCTGCCAAATTTCAGAATCAGCTGTAACAACTCTTTAATTTGAACATCCATGTTTCTGGGGGATTGTAGGAAAAAAAAAAAAAAGAGCAAAACAAACCAAAGGTAACCAGTTCTGGTAAGATACAGAAGCAGCCCCAAATTTCTGCTGTGTCAGAGGTAACTGGAGATCAGGTGTCCTATCCAGGTTACACAGAGGCCATTCTGGGATGGAGAGGCATTGCCCCAGTCCAGCAGAACATGGAGAAGGACATTGACATCATGCATCAGGAAAGTGATGGGCTCAAAGCTGCCTTCACTGCCCTGGATGGGAGTTTTCCAAGGCCACCTCTAGGAATGAAGGGATCAAGGGCATCAGGAAGGCCACCAGTTGGGGATTTTATCTGAACTTGGAGACAACAAAGGCTAATTGAAAAAAAAGACTAAAAGTGAGCTACGTAAATTTGCTCTAATGCAACCAATTTTACACATTAAGTGACACAGAAATTGGCTTATTTTCCTTGTGAAGCAGGAAGAAAACAATATACAGTCCTGGATCTGTTCCCCCAGTCAATGGTTTTTAATGGTTCTGTCACTGAAGTGTGAGCTGGACTGGGAAGCATCAGAAGCAGAGGAAAATGAGGAACCCAAAGGAGGAAAGTTCATGCAACTTCTCTTCCCAGGCAGACACGACTCAAGCTGTCAGACTGCTCATGCAGCCCCAGAGCTCTCCCAGCCCACCCTGGCTGAGTTCACCATGATGAGTCCTTTAGGAAAAAGCAAATTGTTGACACGAGGAGCAGGAGACAGAGAAGAACCAGATAGGGAATGGAGATGACAGAGCTCAGGAATGCATTCACAAATTTGGCAGGGCTTCAGAGCTGTCAGCCCAAGCCTCTGTGAAGAAACTGAGGATTAATAGGGCTGTCTGGCCTGCTCTGGATTAGGGGACACCAAGAAGCATCCACCTGCCCTATGGATTCAGCCTGGTTTGAGCCAGGGTCAGCCTGAAACCATGGTGACTTTCCACCATTTCACAACTAAGAGCCCAACCAGTGGTATTACAAGAAATCTCCGTAGCATCGTGCCCCCGGGATGCCAATATTCCCACAGCATCATGCCCTGCCTAAGGGACAGTGATTTACCAGTGAGAACCAAGAGCTGGGCAGCTGTAATCAATGTACTGATAAAGAGATTCAATAAGCCTGGAAGTTCCTACCAGCAAATGAATGGCTTTCAGTGTATGGGTTACAGAGTCGTTAACTACCCAACCACCCTGCTCACTGTCATTAGCAAGCAATTCCTCCTTTATTCACCATCCATCACCCACTCCCTCATCCCTGCATCCACACAGAATCTCTCTCCCCCCATCCAGTTGTGCTCACAAACAGGCTCTGATGTCTCTTGAAGCAGGCTGGATCTGAAGCAGGGAAGAGGAAGGATTTCATTTCCCCGTTTCTAAGCTGCTCCTGTAATCCTTCAAAGAGTTTTCCTTTGAAGCACTGGCCCGGCCCAGAGCAGCTGGCTCATGGCCACAATTACTTCCACTCCAAGCACACACAAAAAGCCAAGCAAGAGGCCAAGGGGGGGGGGGGGGGGGGGGGGGGGTGCTGAGATTCGAACACCAACGAGTCAATCAAAGGCAGCCAGTGTTCATTAGTCCCTGTGCCTTCCCCTGTCACGGCTGCCCCATTATGCAGGGACAAGGAGTCTGTCTTTGGGTCAGCCAGGGCCACCCAGGAGCCAGCAGAGTCCAGAAGGTAGAGGAGGACTTGAGGGGGTCAGGGTCTGAGAATGCAGCCCCAAATTGCCACTTACGGAGCCTGTCTTCTGTGAGCATGATCAGAGACACCCCATTGAAAAGTTATTTCCATTTTTCTTGCTTTTCCTAAAATCGGGGGGGGGGGGCGGGAAATGAGAGCCTACCAAAGGAGTTACAGTGGTTGTTGGAGAGAAACTAGCAAACGTATATTTTCATTCAGCAGCAGGGTAATGAAGGAGACAGGGATGTTCCCCAGGAAGCTGGAGAGGCGCTCCAGAGCAGGAGGGCCATTAGAAGCAAGAGAAAGCAACTGCACAGGGTTATGAACTGTCTTTGTCCCTGCTCAAAGTCTTCCCCCCAGCCATGCATTCCATTCAGGGTTGATTTAGGCTCCACGGAAGCCAGCAGGACTGCATGTGGGTCAAGTCAGCCCCACATGTGTCTAGATAATTGCCAAGAAGGATTTGCCTCTCTATGTTGAGCGTAGTTTTGAGGCTAACACCAACCATGCTCTTTTGCTTCTGTGTTCCCAGGTCCTCGCCACTCTTGGCTGACCAAGACTGGCTTGGAAGGCTCTTCCCTCTCCCAGGAAAATGGGAACTGATGGTGAAAACCCGATCCTGAGAAATGTGGTCATCAGCTTCAACTTGCTTCTGATGGGTGCTGTCCTCAAGCCTTTTGAGTGCCGGCTGGAGATGACAACAGAGCTGGCTGAGAGGACAGCGGTGGATGAGGCAGGTGGCCTTGCCAACTGCAGCTCACCCATCAAAGAGCAGCCCATGGTCTTCCACCACATCTACAACATCAACATCCCGCTGGACAGCTGCTGCTCATCCATGTTTAAGTCTTCAGCCGAGGAGGTGAGTTCAGAAGACGACCGGCTGGCAGAGTACACGGAGCAGACCTCCGACAGCGAGAGCCAGTTCACCTTCACCCACAGGATAAACATGCCCAAGCAGGCCTGCAAGTGCTCCACCTCCCTCCCATCCCTGCAGGAGCTGCTGAGCAGGATTGAGATGCTGGAGAGGGAGGTCTCCATCCTCCGGGAACAATGCACCTCCAATTGCTGCCAAGAAAATGCAGCCACAGGTAGTAATGCCATCCTGTTAGCTCTTGCTGGGGACTGAGGGCTTGAGCAAAAGGAAGGAGAAATAATACAAAACCTGATGATGACAGTCAGAGTGGTGACAGAGGAAAACCAATGTTTACCCATGATTGGGGCTGTGGCTTTAATGAAAAAACTTAGCTTAAGTCCTCAAAGACAGGAAAACCCTCAGAAGGGGCTTTGGTCACTTGAATGCTCATGCCCCACTCGCTGCAAAAACTCCATAATGGAGAGAGAGCTGAACCCCCTTTATAAAATGAAATTACAGCTGTTTAGGGGTGAGCAAAACGATCTCCCAACTTTGCAGTCTTTCCAACACTCTTAGACATCTGCCATTGTTTGTGGGACAGGGAGCAGAGATGTAACTGCTGCTCTCCTAAGCTGTCCCTGAGCTGAAGGCAGCCCCATGGGAGTTGGCAATGAGTCCCTTCATCTTCTCTGTAGGGGGAGGGAACATATCTGAAAAGCTGAGTTAAAAAAAAAAAAAAAATCAAAAAATGCAAACAAAACCTAAAAACAAAGGCACAAAATCATCAACATGACATTTCATCTGAATAAAAAAATGTGCTTTTGTGGAGACCTCCAAGAGGTCCCATTAGGGTTACTCCATTAAAGACAGCCCCTCATTTTACCTCAGCTGTCCCTCAGGGTAAGGAAAGTAGCATTCAGCTGAAATGCAATTGGTCAGGAAGATTTGGGCTAGCAGCTGCATTTCCATGGTACAGGAGCCAGCATACTGATAGTTTTCCTTGTCTCAAGGAAGAGGGGCTGTCTCAAAGGGCATTCATCCCAAATGCTGCTCAGCCCTGCTCATGGCTTCAACACACCACAGCTCCTTGCAGGGAAGAAAACACTAAGCAAGGAGAAAAACAAGAAGAAAGCACTAAGCATCTTTCCAGGGGAAAACTACTTTTCACACCAAGAACAGCAACAGACAGGAAGAGAAATTAAAAGCAACCCTTTTACCCCCAATAGTCACTGCATTTTTTTTAAGTTTTTCAGCTTTTAGAGTGATTTTTCCAGTGGTATCCCAACACCTCTATGTGTAGGACACATTAAAATGAAATGGGTGCAACCAATGCTCAGGTCAAGAATTCCACCAAAGGTGTGTTAGTCAGGGAGAAACAAGGATGGACACGCAGCAGGGTGGCTTGGGCTGGCATCTATCATGTGGCCAGTGGAAGTCAATGCATTCCCAGCCACAGCTTCAGCCCACATCCCTCCCAATGCCACATTCATCAGCTGCATTAATAACTAAGACAAAACAGGAAACACCAGTCTGTGCAAAGTGAGGGTTAAACTCATGAAGGAAATGCTATGGGAAAAACCTGTTTTCAAGGAATTAATTTGAAACTCTGATGGGCCTATTTGGGTTACTTGCAACATACGCAGACAGTCCTATTAAACATTCATTGCTTGGTGGAGTCCCCATTCCCATCACAAATGTGCCAAGCTAAAACTGGAGTAATTTCATTTATTTTTACCAGAATTAATTTCAATTCAATGCACTGCAAAGGAGATCAGAATCCCTACCCCACCACACAAGGCATTTCCCTGAGGAAAGCCTCTTTCCTCCAGCACACTTACAAGCATCCTCTCTCATCTTTTGATAACTTAACTAGAGGCTGAGATCGGAAGAGATCCTGTCTGACATTCCCAGTATTTGTAGTTTGGATGGGAACTGTCTTGCAAAGTAACCCAAATGGGTGTGTCTGGCACAGCATGTAACTGAGCTGCTTTTACCTGTGCATCTGCTACATCCCCCATTGGAAGATCTGCTTGGAAAGGTCAGCTAGGATGAAGAATATAGCTGTGGACAGAGTCCTGGGACCTGGGGGTCTTTGGGCTGCAAAGGTCTCCCACAGATGGGAGGAAGCACAGAAAGGGTTTCTGTACATCCTTAGTTCACATGAGGAAAAGCAGTAAAAATCAGCAAGGAAAAGTTAGCCTGCCTCGATAAACCCCTAGCTGGAGCAATGGCTCTGTTTCAGGGCAAAGCAGGGAGCATTAGCAGTGTCAGTGACTGGTGCCTTCATCCCCATGCATCCCTCCTCACCCCAGAGCATCTTGTGCAAGGCTGCCAGGTAAAGAGGGGGCATTAGAAGTGCTGGCCACAGAGACCATGTGCTGTCCCTACTTTTCCACAACCTCAGTGTGCCCAAAGCCAACAGTTCTGTCTTAATCAGGTTCACTAGGATAGGGATGAAGATTACATCTTTGGGTATATATCTGCTTTGTATAAGAGAGATAGAACGCAGATGGGGATCCCTCATCTATAAAAAGGAAAAGTGGGTAAACATGAGACCAGAGGAGTCATAGTTGGTGCAGAGGGTTTGGCCAGGGAAGGGGGTTTCTTCCAGTAAGAGGTCTAGGCAAGTTCCTATGAACTGAGTGCTGAGCTGGAGAGAAACCAAAGGGAGCACCTGAACCATCAGAAAGCTGGTGGCATCCATAGTTACGGAGGCCACTGCTCCCTAGGGAAAGATCCACCCAAACCCCACCACGACCCCGTAGCACCAATTCTTCCCCTTTCAGCCCTAAAGCCATCAGTTCTACAGAGCTGGGCATGCTCAGAGGGAGGACTATCCCCCCGCTTGCCCCACACCTGCCTTACTTCTCCAGCCCTTTAGAGGATGACCTAAGACCAAAACTGACCTTTTTCCACCTCCCACCCGGTGGGTTCTGACCCTCGGTCCTGCATCCTTGCAGGGCAGCTGGATTACATCCCGCAGTGCAGCGGTCACGGGAATTTCAGCCTGGAGTCGTGCAGCTGCGTGTGCATGGAGGGCTGGGCAGGTAGCAACTGCTCCGAGCCCCGCTGCCCCCGAGGCTGCTCCAGCCGCGGAGTGTGCCTGGAGGGCCAATGCATCTGCGACAACGACTACGGGGGCGAGGACTGCTCCCAGCTCCGCTGCCCCGCCGGCTGCGGCTCCCGCGGGCTCTGCGTGGACGGCGAGTGCGTGTGCGAAGAGGGTTTCACCGGAGAGGATTGCTCCCAGCTGCGCTGCCCCCGCGACTGCTCGGGCCGGGGCCACTGCGTGAACGGCACCTGCGTGTGCCAGGAGGGCTTCGCCGGCGAGGACTGCGCCAGGCTGCACTGCCCCAGCGCCTGCAGCGGCCGCGGGCTCTGCCGGGACGGGCTCTGCGTCTGCGAGGAAGGCTATGACGGGCAGGACTGCTCAGCAGGTAGAGGGGGGGATGCGTGAGGAGAGCCAGACTTGAGTGTATAAACAAGGGTTTCAAGGTGCCCAGAGTCCCCCATAGGAGCACCGCGAAGCCTAGGAGAAATCCATACCCAGAAGAGTGCATCACTTAGGACACACTGAGGCCCCACAGTGTGGCTACCTCCCTGTTATCCCTGCCCCCAAAGACACCACGGACAAAAGTTTGGGAGGTGAGAAAAAAGCTAGTGAGGTTCATCCCGAGGGAGCTAAACCCTTAGCACAACGGGGTCTCCTGAGCCTTTACCTAGCTGTTCAGACAACCATAGACAGTACATAACCCCCAGCCCGTGCCAATGTCCCACAAGTAGAACCTACACACCCTCCCACAGGAGTGGAAGAATAAGCCACTCACACCCTCACACTCTCCGTACCTCTGCCCTTCCCACCAGTGTCTCCTCCTGAAAACCTGCGGGTGACAGGGATCAGCGACAGCTCCATCGAGCTGGCTTGGGACAGCCCCGGGGCAGCCACCGAGTACGTTGTCTCGTACCAGCCAGCAGTGCCAGGGGGCATCCAGCTGCAGCAGAGGGTGCCTGGGGACTGGAGCAGTATCACCATCACGGATCTGGAGCCAGGTGTTGCCTACAATGTCAGCATCTATGCAGTCATCAGTGACGTCTTCAGCATCCCCATTACCTCCAAGGTGATGACTAGTAAGTATCCTACTGCATTTGTCATATATTTGCAATATATCCTGAGGGGATGCTCAAGCTGGCTCACTTTTTCCATAAAAACCTTCTAGCAGCAGAAACTTGAGCTTTCAAAAGGAAAAAAAATTAAAAATCAGATCTGCATAGGGATATAGGAAAGGAGGAAATGTGTCGACCCTCTTCAGAAAGACTCAGTTTGGGAAAACCTGGATGTCTAAAAAGAAGAAAAAGCTTCCAGAGTTTGAGTGAAGCTCCCAATATGTGGCCCAAAACATTACATTTTTTTCCTCTGAGAAAATACTGCAATATAACACAGAAGTCTCAGGTTCTCGTCCCACTCCTGAACGGGATTCTCCGTGATGACTCCCCAGGATATGGGCGATAGTGCAGCAAGAGGGGATGCTGCTGTGCATCAGGAGAAACATAGTCCTGATCAGGACCGTGATGCACAGAGGAAAGCAGGAGTATCTAGCTGTAATGTCAGCTTCCAAAAGGGTTTCTTGGAGACAAAGGATACAGAGGACAGGGGGAAAACAGAAACTATCCACACACCCTTTTGCAACTCCATCATTCACTCTGTTCACACGATAGTGCAGTAGGATGGTTCAGTGTCTATATGTCCAGGCATTTCCCTCTTTTCCCTCCAATCCACGTGGAGCGGGGGATGAAAATGAATTTTAACAGTTACCAAAAGTTTCCCTGTTTTTATTGCCCAGAAAACAAAGTACCCACAGGGAGCAGGGGGGGTACAACAGCATGTGCACACCCACCCCGCTCTGCTCACCACCCCCTACTCCTTTCCAGACCTCGCCACACCGCAGGGGCTGAAGTTCAAGACCATCACAGAAACAACGGCAGAGGTGCAGTGGGAGCCCTTCTCCTTCCCCTTTGACGGCTGGGAGATCAGCTTCATTCCCAAGGTACTGCTGCCACACTCATGGCATTGCAGGTATACCCTGTCAGCCTGAAAGCACCCAGTGAGTGGATCCTAAATCAGTTTCCAATTACCCACTTCCCGAAATACCCAGCCTGTGTTTGCCATTGGTGTGCTGCACATCAGACTCCCCAGACACTGCCAGCCTCCATTTCCCCATTAGTTTTTGTGTCAAGACATACATGTCCTCAAAGAAATGTCCTCCAAAAAAATCCAATGATGGGGAAAAAACCTTCCAGCCTTGCTGCCTCTTGTTGTTGCACTGTCTTTTTCCTTTCCATCTCTTTTGTAATGACTCTTTCACGTCTTGCTCTCCCTTGCCCTGCTTTCTACATTAAGGTCCCCAAGGCAGTCTGGATCAAGGCAAGCAGCTGCTGGCTCTCAGACAACAACCTTCAACATCCCCAAGTCACACGCACAGTTAATTCCTGCCACGGAATTTTAATCACTGTGACGAGCAGGTAGAAATCGTGCCAGAAAAGATGAAAGGATAAAAGCGTTGCCCTAAATACCCCATATTTTCTGTGTGCAGCAACAAAAATTGTACATAAAGTATTTAATCTACATTCATAATTTCTACACCATTTAGCCATAAGTATAGCTTCAATTGTATATGGAGCCTCTTTACAAGAGTATTCAAGCCCCAGCAGTAAAAGAAATGCTGATTAAGGGCTCAATCATATGTTTTCACTTGTACAAAACCTTCACTGGAATCAAAGGCAGCTCTGGGCAGTGGAGAACTGCAGAATTTGGCCCCAAAGTTTTAAATACTCTTAACTATAAAGTTAAGAGCACTGCACAGCACAAAGCAAGGACCCAATTGCCTTAAATAACTCAATTCTCTCATTTCCTAAGAGTAGCTGGAAGATTCTTGATGCAGCGTCGGCTACATCCACATACAAATTGTGTCAGAAATTGAAGCTCAGGTAATGCAGGTATAGACCCTGGGATAATTTTCAGTCACCATCAGGTGATCATTCAGTATTAAAGCTGAAAATATAGCAATATCAGAGAAAAGCTTTTGGTAGGAAAAAGTAGGTCTTCCAGACATTTCAGTATTACTCAGGAATTAAGCTGAACAGCATCCCCCTGAAGCAAATAAATGCAAACCATTGGTTCTCTTTTCTGTTTTTAAGCTTAAACTTAAAAATACATGGAAACGTTTTGGGATTTAAAGGCAGATAAGATGCAAAAGGATGACTGTTCCTGGATGCAGGGTCTTGGGTAGGGAAGGGATGTAGCTCACTGGGCTTTGAAGTTCTAAGATCCATGAGTCAAGACATAAAGTAACAGTCATGGTCCTGCCCATCAGCTGCCAAAATTGGCTTCTCTTGAGTCTCCATCATTGACTTTTCCCCTAAAATTAGGCAGAGGGTGCTGTGTCCTTTACTACCCTGCAAGTAACTCTTGCTTGTGTACGTGCCAAAACATTGCCACACCCCAAACAAACCCAAATCCCGCTCCCAAAGGATAAATGCAACAGTTATAGCTGCAGCATCACAACCTCTGCGCGAAAAATTGACCTCCCTGTCTTCCCAAAAACGGAGTGAGAAAATGCTAATTTGGTCCTCAGCAGCCCAACGAGGATGCTTGCAGCTTCCTGCAGAGCTCTTTCCACTCTCCCTCCATGGTCTCCATGATGCTCTCACCCCCACAAAACTGGGTCATGCAGGATTGCCCATCTGCTGCCTGCACTGGGGATGGGGTGGGAAAAAGACAAAGAGAAGACAGATTTAGCAAAGAATATTACGAAAGGTAAAATGGCAATTGATGGCTAAAATGGAAGATTTCCTGTTTAATGAGAAGAGAGATTAATATGAATTGAGAATTATGTGCAAAGATTTGTTTAGCATATTATTAGTCGAGACAGCAGCAAGAAAAGATCCTTTGTCCAAACACTGGCAGGAAGGTGACATGTGCAGTTGTTTAAAGCCTTACAGTTTTTCAGGGCAAAACCGCAAGGCATAAATGAGTGTACTAAAGATGGTTAAAAACCAGGGTACGGCAAAATAAAGACCTCACAGCTTCATACCTATACATCAACATCAAAAGGTTCCTGACACCTGAAGAGCAGGGAAAACAAGTCTAGCCAAGGCTTTGGTTTAATCATCTTTCCTCTTCTGGAGAACACCAGAGGCACAAATGGCAAAATACAGAAGCTGGGGAGGTAGAAGGGATGGGGAGGATTTTCCAGCGCAGAACGAATTCATGAGTACTCCACGCTTGGTCGGTGACTTCATCCCACGCTTCTCCCTCCATGGTGGGGTGTACCAAGGTGATAACGTGATTTGGGGATGCAGAGTGGGCTGTGGAAGGATGCAACATGGGAAGCACCTCGTCTCCGTGCATCAGCCCCGCCCAAAACACCAGTTGGTGAAGGAGGGTTAATGCTTATTTCATTTCCTGACAGAATAATGAGGGTGGTGTGATCGCCCAGCTCCCCAGCACCGTCACCACCTTTAACCAGACGGGGCTGAAGCCAGGGGAAGAGTACACCGTCACCGTCGTAGCCCTGAAGGAACAAACCAGAAGCCCTCCCACCTCCAACAGCGTCTCAACCCGTGAGTGAGCCTGACCTGGGGGCAGCACAACATTTGGTCCCAAAAATAAAGTCCCATCAGCAGGAGCAGCTGGCACTGCATGGGCAGGGATGAAACTGGAAGCACCCAGGTGCCCAAACATTGCAGCAACAGCTTCTTCATGTAGTATTTTGTCCCTCTCTCTCTTAAATTGCCACAAGTGCAGAAACCGTGATAAGGTTAATGGGGTTGGGAGTGAAGACTCAGTTCTGCTTTTATTGTATATCTGGATAAATTATTCTTCTCTGCTAATCTCACATTTTGAGGCTGGATGCCCTCAAGAAATATATCTACAAAAGTATTATTTACTCATATATAACAGATTAAAACTCCCACCTGCTTTTGTGCCACTAAATACCCTCAACTCCCATTCAGGCAAATCCAGCAGCAGGGCAGGGAGCCAGGAGAAACAGCATGTCCCTTCCTAACCAATTTGTTTGCCCACTCACTGGTCAATCCTGTAGACCAGAGAAAATTCAGCTGGGTCTTCTTGCTGAAGGAGATGCAGTGATGGGCAGAGCTCACGGAGGAGAAGAGGCTCTTCACACCAGATCTGTTGCAGTTTGCCTTGAAAGCCAGGGAGACGTCTACGACTTCCATCTGAGCTGTTCCAAGACGAAAAAGTGCTTAAATAGCTGTCGGAGGGTTGTAATAAGATGCTGCTAATTGAGACAGCGGTGAGACTGAAGGGAGGGTCCCTCCACCGCAGCAGTTTGTTGTAGGTCTGAGCTTCCCAGCACAGTCATCTCCTCCTGCTTTGCCACTGCTTTCAACTCGGCGTGGCTTAATAGAGACATCTCCTGGTCAAGCCCGAAACTTCCTTTCACTGGGAAGTCATCAAAAATAGGAGCTGGTACTTCAAACTCAAGGGTTGACTTTCGCAGGGAGTGCAGGTGAAGCAGTGGGCTCCTGGATCTGTGCTCTGTGAAGGCATCCCTGTGCTGGCATGTCTGCTTTCCTCTGCAGAACCCTCAGAGCTTTATCCCGATCACCCTTGTTCTTCCTCAACACTTTGTGCCAGGATCCAACAGCAAAGGCATGGTTTTATGCCACACAGCTAAGTAGATGTGGACCACCTATATGACTGGACAACATTAAGTAGTTGGAGATTGAGGATATGTTTGACCTGGTCCTGGCCAAGCTGGACAGCCAGTTACTACCTGAACACTGGGCTTCCTAGCTGTGCTCCCTCCTCTGCTGTTTCACCCCTAGACCTCACCTCACAACTCCAAATTCCTCCGTGTATTTTTCTAACCCTCCCTGGTCCTTCCACCCCTGCCCATATGCTTGGGGCAGGGAACTGCCATCCCCTAGAACTTCCAATCCTGAGGTGCAGCATTCAGCAGACCCTTATTATATACCGTCATTTTCTAAGAGATGTATTATATTATGTATATGTGGTATAGTCTAAATTACAGAACCAAAGTGGGCTTTTTCACCCATCTTGTGATCATCTAAGTGATAAAACAGGCTGCCCAGCAGGCTTCATGCATGAGCACTGCCACAGCACAGAAGCAATGGCAAGGCTTAGCTCCATGCATCCATCCATCCATGCATCTATCCATCCATCCATGTAGTGGTTAAGTCCTGCTGGACTCAAAGCATCCATCAGCCAGGCTTGAGCCCAGGATGTCCAAAGGTTGAGTACTGGGGGATGTGGAGGAAGGAAGGGCCCGAAACCAACCAACCAATCAACCAACCAACCAACCAAAAAAAAAAAAAAAAAAAAGAAATGTCTAAAAAGGTCACCTAGTAGATCCCTGGTATGAATTAAGCCAAAAACCTTTTATCTGAGAGGTTTTTTTGGACACCCACCATAGCCCCACACCCAGCTAGTTATGAAGATTCACCAGAGCAGTTGCATTTTCTCCTCTCTTCCCAAGTGCCAAGACACTAACAGCTTTATGAGCTGATCTTTCAGTTTAAAGACAAACCAGCAGCTAGCACCAAAGCAGGAACATTTCTAGAGACATTCCTCAGCTCTCAAGGCTTGGATCTTGTCCTTGGCCCCACGTTATTTAACACATTGTCAACACCTTTCAAAAGACATAATACTGTTGCTGATAAATTTTTCCAGTGATGAAAGGCTCAGAAAAGAGTAAATTGAGTAGAACATCAATAAAAGTTGTTTGGATAGTTTGAAAACTTGGACACAAAGGAAAATTATATGTTTTCCAATGTAAAAGTACAAGCAGCTATCTAAGAGCAAAGAAAGTATGTTGCAGTTAGATATAGTAGTTTTATATCCTGAGAAATACCACTTTAAAAAGCCAATGAGGAATTATTACCAACAACCAGCTCAAGAGAAAGGCAGGAGTTGCATTATAGCTGTAATGAGTAACGATGAGAGAGCTGCTAGGTCCTGCTCAGGTGTTCACAGAAAGTGGAGAGGTTTCAGGAAATAGCCAGGAGATTGGGACAAGGGACTGGGAACCCATGAGGACCAAACCCCTCAGTACCTTGGGGTCAGGGTCATGTCTCTTGCCCATTCCACCTCTCTCCGTTGTCCCCAAATACTTATTCCAGCCACTCTGAAGGTCAGGTTGAAGCATCCCTGAAGCTTGGTGTCCCCAAAGCTTCCATCTTTCCCCATCCAAGTCTCCCAAAAATAACAGGTGCCCATTTCACCCCCCTCCTCCGCAGTCATTGATGGCCCGACGCAGATCCTAGTGCGGGATGTCTCCGACACCGTGGCCTTCGTGGAGTGGACGCCACCGCGTGCCAAGGTGGACGCCATCCTGCTGAAGTACGGGCTGGCAGACGGGGAGGGCGGGAGGACCACCTTCCGCCTGCAGCCCCCCCTCAGCCAGTACTCCCTGCAGGCCCTGCGCCCCGGCGCCCGCTACCACCTCACCGTCAGCGCCCTCCGGGGTGCCAATGAGAGCCGGCCAGCCTTTGCCCAGTTCACCACAGGTACCTTGCTGGGAGAACTGGTGAATTTTTGAGCCTCTGGCAAGCATGGGTGGATGGCTTGCTGCCATCTGCAGATGGGCTGTCCTGCAACAAGGATGTATCCAGAGAAAAACTGAGGGGTTTTTTGCTTCTGGGGTTTAACGTTACCTGTTTTTCCCCTGGCAGAAGTGAGCTGGGGTTTAATGTGGTGTGCTAGGAGGAAGAAGTGGAATGAAAATACAATGGTTAAGATGCAGTTGTGAATGGAGACACTTAAATGCAGGTGGCTTGCATCCCATCACAGAGCAAGGCAGAGCAAATGATGCAGCTCACCCTAAAATGCACATGCTAAAACTGACCTCTGCCCACTTCCCACCCCCTCCCCGCTGCTTGTGGCTGTTTAGCCACTAAACCTCCAGTGCAAAAGGCCCTTTTTATGCCCTGCGCCCCACAGGGATGGTCATATGGTCCCCAGGGCAGTCCAGGTGATTCCAGATGCCAGTGACAAGGCATGGACTCAACCCCCCATATTTAGATGATAAATCCCAAGCCAACCCCATCTTGGCCATGTCTTGCTGTAGCATCAAGACTGAACCTGCCTGGGACACACATCCCCACCAGCTCCAGTGCCCATTCAGACTCACAGCTTAGAACTCTAGAACTCAGTAGTTTACATCCTTAAGAGCACCCACAGCTCAATGCACAATTCTCGAAAGCACCAACATGCTCAGCACAGGTCTGAATTCAAGGCAACACTTGCTCCCACTCAGCATCAAGAGCCAAGGCAGGTGCCTTGACCAAGGAATCAGCAGTCAAGCAGCTGAAACCAGCACAGCCAGAAACATGGTTATCTTATATCTTCTCTGAACACCCTAACTGGTCAGTAAAACTTTAATGAATGTTAAACCTGCAGATAGCTAAGGGATTTAATTTACTGTGCCATAAAGGAAGAGTGTGTTTCTCTGTGCTGGTTTATGGTATATAAATTATTTGTCATGTACATAACTGCAGGATATGAGGCTCCTACTCTAATAACTGTGGTATGTGAATTGTGTGTGTACATATCTCTGTAGATATATATTTTGGACTAGATGCTTGCCCCAACTGATTTGCTGTGTTGGCCTTCCTCACTTCATTTTTAAAAGGCAACATAAAAATACACCCCCAAACTCAGATCCATCACCAATACCTGTCTGCTGGTGCCCAGCCCCAAGCTGTTGCTCATTGGAGGGGTTTATTGTAAAACCAGAGCAGATTCAGTACACAGCATAAGCAGCACCAATAAACAAACCCTTTGGGCAATGTCTGAGTGTGAATGAGCCTGTAAAGATGCTCAAGGTTTTCTTCTAATAGCAGTTCAGGCCAATGCATGGCTACCGCAGAGCCCTTTTTCTCACAGTGCCTCAGTTTCTTTTATCCTAATACGGGGGGAAAGAGTTTTCTTTTTGAAATAACATGGAGTTATCTGCCAAACCAACTTACTGAGGATGCTGCAAGTGCCCCAGCATTTGCATCACTCTCCTGGGTGGCATCTCACAGCCAGCGCTGAGCAGTAAGTGAGAACAAATGTTCCAGCCCTTCCTGCCAGGACATGCCCTGGGGAGGGGGGGACTGTATGTGGGATCTCCTGGATGTCACACCCAGGTACTCCTCCACCGCTGGCTGGTGGTGGCAAGGCTATGGGGCGTGTTCCCAGTGGTGAGACGTGCCTCTCTCCCTTGTGTTGCACAGAGATCGATGCCCCCAAGAATCTGCGGGTGGGCTTGCGGACCCCCGCCAGCCTCGAGCTCGCTTGGGACAACAGTGAGGCTGAGGCACATAGCTACAGGGTGGTCTACAGCACCCTGGCTGGGGAACACTACCACGAGGTCCTGGTGCCACGCCACACCGGTCCCACCACCCGGGCCACCCTCGCAGGTATGCATACACCCACGCGCCCTTCCTCCCCCTTCATCCTCCTCCTCTCAAGCAGGTAGGGCAATGGAGAACCCAAATCAGCACTGATACTCAGTTGCCCTTGTGCTGGCACATGTTTGAGGTTGTTTTGGAGTTTACTATTTACTGGAGAGAAGGTTTTCCTTGGGATAGAGCTCCTTTTCCCCTGTTTGGGTCTGGGTACACCTCCAAGTAATTCACCTCCAGCAAGGATCTGTCCAGGTGGCAAATAGAGCTGGCAAGGAGCGAAGTGAGAAATGGGAAGTCTGTTTAGGCTGATCTACAGGAAAATGTTATTTCACCCTTTTTTGCCTGTTTGGAAAGAGCCATGGATGATGATGCCCTGTGGGCAGTGAGGGGGGAGCCAGGCTGCCCAAGTTTTTTGCCTTTTTCCAAATTGAGCTCAAAGCAGACACAAATCTAGAGAAGCTGGTTTTGAGCAAGTCCTTTAAGCAGTACATTATTCAGGCCAGCATAAGAGCTGCAAACACCACTCACCTCCCACTGCCAGGAAAGCCCCAAACACCTTATGCAGCAACACAGCAAAGTACCATGTGAGATGTGATTTCCTTGTTTTTTGACTAGAACTGCTTGCCTTGTGGATTTGCTGCTCCGGTGGCATATTTTGAGCGAAGAAAATAATTATATGCAAAAATGTTCTCTTGAACATTTTGAAGTTCTTCAGTATGGCAGGACACCAGGTTCTTCCATGTTGACTCTGCCTTCCCAGGGAGGAAGGGAAGCCCTTCCCTTCAAGGGCTCAGGAATCTGCCATATGGAGTTACAGGAGAGAGTTCAGTGGGAAAGTAACTAGTTAAGTTACAGGCACAGCAGCAGAGTCACAAGAAAGGCTGGAAGACAGCATGGCAATTAGAGCAGCTATCTTGAAAAATGTGGAATGCAGAAGTTAAGGCTGGTTTCTTCTGTGTTTGTGATGAGAATGTGTGGGGAGAAGTAGGATGAGATTAGAGACTCAGTGCTGGACTCCTGCTAGCTTTCCTTTAGACTTTTATTGGCTTTCTAGGTGAAAGAAGCATTAAAAATGGACCAAACCCCCCTCCCTGGGCAGAGGCACAACAGTGGCACACACTACGATGATATCCATGGCTTGACTTGAGCTTCCCTTGGAGTATTTGGCAGCTTGAAGTCTCTTGTTTTTCTCAATAAAACTAAAAAAGCTTACAAGGCTCTGCCAGACTCAGGCAAGGCTTCAAGAAACCCAACCAGAGCAAGCTGCAGAGATGAGGATTCTTAAGTCAGCAACCAGCAATTCTTTCAGCCAGTCTCATCTACCTGCAGGAAAAGCAGTGATGAATGGCATTGAGAAGAGTTTATTTAAGATTTGCACTTAAAAGTTCAGCAAGCCTGGCCCTGACCCAGAGTCTCTCTTAAAAATCAGCATTTGCCCAGAAATAACAGAAATAATTTTGCTCTTCTCAAAAGAGCTGGGAGAGAAAAAAGTTTATATCCTCCTGCTCATTTCTTCCTTCTCCTTCCTTTCTGCCAGGTTCTTCTTTCCAGAATACTTCTGACACTTATTGAGCAGGGCCAAGGGGTTCATCTTCTCCCCATCACCAAGACTGCACTGTAGTAAGATAAAAGCAAGGGAGGAGAGTGGTCCCTCTCTCTTGACCTCTTGGGAAAGGTTTTGGTGGCTCCAGGGGATGCTGCCCCTGGGCAAGGCATAGTGAAGTTAAGCTGGAGAGTTTATGGCTTTTCTAACTTTGTGGGAAAGACCATGAAGCACTGGGAAGAGGGGAAATACAGCCACCAGCAGCCAAGCAAAAGTAACAGACAGAGGCAAGAGATACCCTATGGAGATAAAACAGTGCAAGAGGAAAGGAGCTGGATGAGCTCAATCCCAAGTTCCTTGAGAGAGGCATCTCAGGATACGTCCACCCCAAGGAACAGGGCTTGAATCGGCTCCCAGAAAGACTGCACCTTTCCCGATTAATGTGCATTTCATTTACTCTGCATAATTTATTTCTCTCCAAGACACCAGCCCTGTGACAATATTTGATGTTACATCACTTTGGAAAAAAATATAGCTACTTTATTGTTCCCATCTCAGCTCGCACACACAAGAGCTTCTGTCTCACTGCCAGCAATTACAGCAGATCTCAGCAACAACTTTTAAAGATGGCTTGTTTCTGAGCTAAAATAATCAAAATTCCCTGTCCAAAGGCATCCACAGGGCTTTTTAAAAAGGCTCAGTTCTTTTGCAACTTGTAGAGGAATTGCTGACCTGTGGGAGAGCTGCTAACCCCAGGGATGCTCTGGAGGGTCCTCCCCTGCCCCTACCTGTGGGAGGGGGAAAAAGGGGTCACACACACCCTGAGGTCACCCTGCCATGTGCTGCTCTCAAACCCCTTCATGTTCTTTGCACTCCCTGGCAGATCTCGTGCCAGGAACAGAGTATGGCATTGGAATTTCAGCCGTGATGGACAGCCAGCAGAGTGTGCCAGCGACCATGAATGCCAGGACTGGTGAGTTTGGCCCCTCCTTCCCTGCTCCAAGCACAGCTAGCTCCTATGGCTCAGATGCCCCCATAGGACAATCCATGCATGGGGACAAAACTCTGCACCAACCCTCTCCCACAGAGCTTGACAGCCCCCGGGACCTCCTGGTGACAGCTTCCACTGAGACGTCCATCTCACTGGCTTGGACCAAAGCCACAGGTCCCATCGACCACTACCGCATCACCTTCACCCCTGCCTCAGGAATGGCCTCTGAAGTGACAGTGTCTCAGGATGAGTCACAGCTCACCCTCTCGGAGCTGGAGCCTGGCACAGAGTACACCATCTCCATTGTCGCTGAGAGGGGACGGCAGCAGAGCCTGGAGGCCACTGTGGATGCCTTCACAGGTAGAGAAACGTAAGCTGGGACGGGGGCAAGGGCACAGACCTTGTTGGCACCTCTGCCAGCCCACTGTGTCCCTGGTACCAAAACCCTCGAGATGGTGATGGGGATGAGAGCTGGGGTCACTGTGTCCACACAGGAGCAGTTGACCTCAAAAGGAGGATGGCCCTACCAATGTGGTGACACAATCCCTTTGGCCAGCAGCACTGAACACACTTGCTTTGGTGGAGGGTCCCAAAAGGACAAGATAGAATTGGGAAAAACAGACAGCCCTCTGCTGTCCTCTGTGGTCAAGGTGGCCTGTTGTGTCCATATGAAGAAGGAATGAAGCCTTGGGGGACCTCATAAGGACCTCTGGCTGAAAAGTCTGCAGTCATGAAGTGCAGACAACACAAACCATCTGTAGTGGGACAGTTCCATCACTCTCTGCATAGGTCTGGGATGGAGGATGTTTGCTGGTGGAGCTGAGAAAAGCACCATTTTTCCCCTCTTGGTTCTGCCTCTTTATCCCAGCACAGTTTCAGATCAATGGAGAGCCCAGATCTTCAGCTTTGCCACCTCTTTTAAGTATTTCCCATAAAAGCACTGGGAAAAATGTGGAGGATCTGCAGACAGTTGGGGTTGCATCTCTCCTCTTCATATTCCAGGTGTTCGACCCATCTCACAGCTGCACTTCTCCCAGCTGACATCCTCCAGTGTGAATGTCACATGGAGTGACCCATCCCCACCAGCAGACCACCTCATCCTCACCTACAGCCCCAGGGATGAGGAGGAGGCACAGCAGGTCACACTCGATGGCACCTGCAGGCACACCAGCCTGACAGGCTTGCAGCCATCCACCGAGTACCTGGTGTCACTGGTGGCCATGCATGGCACCATCAGCTCTGAGCCTGTTGTGGGCTCCATCACAACAGGTACCAGGGGACAACCCCCACCAGGCACGGGACATCACCAGGGAGGGCAGGCAGGGGGATGGGGAGTGGACCTGCCTCCCACAGCTTTTCATTGTGCTCCATCTCACCAGGGATTGATGCACCAAAGGACCTCAGGGTGGGCAATGTCACCCAGGAGTCCATGATGGTCTACTGGAGTGCTCCCATCGCTGCCTTCGACCACTATAGGATATCCTACCGTGCCGCCGAAGGTAATAGGCAGACCACTCCTGTTCATGCCCTGAGCTCACAGCTGCCTCCATCTGCTGGCCCAAGCAAGCCACTAGGTCATTCTCACCCAGGCAGTATCTCAGTGCCTTAAGCAAAGCAACCAGTAACTGGGATTGGCTACAGGGCAGGGGATGGAGTGTCTGGGATGAGGATGGGAAGGGACCATGCAGCCAGCTTGGCACAGCAGGCCACATAGAATGGCCCCCAGAAGTATGCCCTCCCCAGAGATGGTTAAATTCGTGGCTCAATCTTAAACTCCCACCTCCCTCATCTGCTTCGACTACCTTATCTTCCTTGGCCCTAGCTCTGTCAATGACGCTGAAAAGGCCAGGCCAGCAGAGTGATGGGCACACAGGAGTGCACCTGCACGCATGAAACCCAGTTACCTCCAGTGTCCTGTGGAACTGCCCTTCCCTCCCAAGCCCCTCCTGAGCCCCAGGGATGGGGCCAGCCATGACATCAAAGCTCTTGGCTCCATATCTGCAGGGAGGACAGACAGCATGGCCATCCCCAGGGATGCCACCGAGTACACCCTCCAGGACCTGCAGCCTGCCACCAAGTATGAGATCGAGGTGAAGAGCGTGCGGGGCCGGGAGGAGAGTGAGCTGGTCTCCATCACTGCATACACAGGTGGGAAGGAACTCTTGGTGGGCAAGGAACAATCAAACAGTGTCAGGTCCAGCCCTGCCCAGGACTGGCAGTCCCTGCTTGCACTAATACTCAGGTGACTGAGAGGAAGCTGGAGATGATAAGCAGGGGTCACAAGGGCTCAGTGTGGGCTTTTGAAGTATGTCTCAGCAAAGTTTATCCCAAATATGCATAGGTAGTCATGGGTAAAAGTGATAAACCTGTGTACCACGCACAGGGAAGCCAGAAATATGATGCTGGGCAATCATGACAGCCTTTCCTACGCAGAGTATAGATTTCCAGAAATAATTCCTAGGGAAGCCCTGTCACAAACAGCATCTGCTGCAAGAATAAAAGCTTCTGCTTTCCCCAGACTCCTCAAAACCTAAAGAAAACCCCTAACATGCCTGACTGAGCATCAGGAAAAGAGTGGAAGAGCAGCCCAGGTAGCAGAGTAGCACAAGCTATGACACCCTTGCACTCCAGCTTGGGCAGCAGTAACTCCTGGGCATGCACATGTGTCTGGGCAGCAGGGCAGGACATAGAGTGGTATACCACAAGAAGCCCCTCCAATTCATAGTCCAGTCTTCTACTGCCTCTGACTCTCTGGATCTCTCCCCCATGCAGCCATGGATGTCCCCCTGGGGGTCACGGCCACCAACATCACTCCCACTGAGGTGCTGCTGCAGTGGAACCCGCCACTGATGGAGGTGGAAAGCTATGTCCTCATCCTTACGTGTCGTGGAGGTACACCAGGACTTTGTTTCAGCTCACCTTAACCTCTCTCCCATCCCAAAGCCCAGGGCTCAGTGGGTGCCCTTCACAGAGGGAACAGGGAAGGAGCCCTTGTCTTGGGTTTTATAGGGATTGTGGGAAAAAGTAGAGCACCCTTCAGATTGAATAGCACTACTACAGCTCAGCTGCTGCACAGTACCTTATAGCGTTTCAGCAATATAAATGCTTTTTTTCATAAGGTCATATCCAGAGACATATTTTGGAGAACCACCTTGAATATCTAGTCTAACTCATTCCTTTTTTCTTACAGTTGCAGGAGAAACCATTCTCGTGGATGGAGACAACCAGGAATACCAGCTGACCAACCTGCTGCCCAGTACCACCTACACAGTTTCTATGTATGCCACCAATGGGCCTCTCACCAGCCAGACCATCAGCACCAACTTCACTACTCGTATGTACAATCACTTCCCTCACTCCTCATCCCTAGCCATGCTCCCACCCCAGGAAAAGCTCTTGTTACATAGCATGGGCATAGAGGTAGCCACATGCCAAAAGGACACAAACACCTATCCCAAATACCAGTGTAGGGCAAAACACAAGAACAGAATTTCAATCAACAAGCATCAACCAGTATTTTCACTCTTTCAACATCCATCCATCCATCCCTTTCTTTCAGTGATTTCCCCTGGATGTGGTTTCCTGACCCCTGACCAGGTCTTTTTCTTGCCCAAGGCCATAGTCTAGAAGAACACAACAACCCATTTTGCTCACTGACAACTTGAAAGGTCCCATAGCACATGAATTGCAATGCGCAGTCACAGTTGTTACCCTTAAGATGGCATGCAGGTAAAAAGGAGGCCTTCTAGAGGGTTTGCAGAGCTCTGTTGAAGACTGGGGATCGGTGATGAGGTCTTGAAACTGAGGGTGAGGGTGGGCTTTGGGCTGTAGCTCAGTGTTGTAAGGTAGAATCCCAGTGAATTGAGTTGGGAAGAAGGGCTGAGGTGGTTGTGTGTGAGAAACTGCACTTCCTTGGGTCCCTGTCCACTCTTGCAGTTTTGGATCCTCCAACAAATCTGACAGCCAGTGAAGTCACACGACGGAGCGCCCTGCTCTCCTGGGTTCCTCCTATGGGAGAGATCGAGAATTATGTCATGACCTACAGATCCACCGATGGCAGCCGGAAGGTGAGTGAGTCCTCACACAAAAGAGGTTCATTAAGTCAGGAAATAATACAACCATGGTAAAACGAGTGGGGAAAGCCAAACAAAGTAAAAGAATGATGCTCACTGGCTCAGGGAGACCAGAAGGGCAGACACTACTTCCTGCTAAGAAGGATGATGGGAAAAAGCAAGAGGAAATTGCTTAAGGCAAAATGTTTATGCACACCTACTGGTCTGGGCATAAAGAGGTTACCTGGAAAGTTTGGAGGAACAGGAAAAATTCACAGCTTGTGAAACACAAGCAAGCTGAGGCAGGAGAATGTTATTCTGCAGAGGTGTTAAAAATGCCATTTTCCCTTCCTGCAAAAAGGAAGATAGACACAGACAGCTAATTAATCCTGCAATACAATGCATTTGATTATTTAATGAGTGTCCACATCTGCCTGTCTGGAGGATCTGCAACAAAAAACACTATCAGAAATATGTCATGGCAAATAGTCCAATTTTCTTTGCTGGTGTGATTGTCTTGTAGCAGCCAGAGGATAATATCTTTACAGAAGGGATTAAATAATGCTGTGTGGCACTGGCCAACAACCAGAAAAATTAACATGACAGGAATTGACGGAGTCAAAACTGTCTGATAACCAGCTTTGGCCAGCTTTATTCCTTGCACTGCTTGGGCAATCAGTCATGTCTTGTACTGAGGGCACAAAGGTCCCAACAGAGCCAGTACATGGGGGACACAGATTGCAAACATTTAAATCCGTCTCCAAACCAGGTTGCTTTCCCCCACCCCAAACCCTTCTGAAATGTTGGCTATATTCACTGATCTCACATTTACTCAGGCCAGGGGTCTAAGGAGTCATTCAATGCTCCTCAGTCAGGCTCCAGGGGCTACAGTAGTTTGTGGCTTCCTTTCCCTCCTCACTTGCTCTTTAGGCTCCACGTCACTTTTCTCATCTGTTGCTCTTGGTGTCTACCTCCTTCTGGGACCCATGTATAGGAGCTGATTGTGGATGCTGAGGACACATGGATCCGTCTAGAGGGGCTTTCTGAGACCACAGAGTACACAGTGCACCTGCAAGCTGCCCAAAATGCCATGCGGAGTGGCCTCATCTCAACCACCTTCACCACAGGTGAGGAAGCACACTGCATCTGTTCAGACAAGTGGAGGTTGGCCCATGTATATGCTGGTAGGAATGGACTGTGCTTAGGGACTTTCCCTCCTCAGGTAGCATTCCATCATGATCCATAGATGGGTACTTACAATGCCATGACCCACAGTGCTGCTTCACTACAAAAAGGTAATGGCTGAAGGACCTATGATTCAAACACAAGACCCAGCCCAGGGCAAGAGGATTTGAGCTTCAGTCCAGGAACCATCTACCAGGCCCTTTGCCTTGCTCATATCTGTCCTCAAGTGCATAAATAGAGGAAAAAATACCCACTAAAATCAACAACACATATTAACAGGTATGCTCCTGGGAGAGGACCCAGCCAGTGTCTCCATGCTGCAGACCTGATCTGATTGTTCACACATATCAAAGGATCATAGAACATTGGGTTGGAAAGAGTCTTTAAAGGTCATCTAGTTCAATCCCCCTGCAGCAAGCAGGGTCATCTTCAACTTGATCAGGTTGCTCGGAGCCCTATTGAATTTGTTCTTGAAAGGTTTCAGGGTTGGGGTATCCCTGGAAATATTAAGCAGGTGCATCTCCACCACCACCAGTGCAGTCAAAGACAGCAGAGCCAGCACTTAATCTAATTGCATTATTCCTCCCCATTCTCATTCTAGAGCATTCACAATGCATTAAGGCACTAAAGTAATGGGAATGGTTTCCTTTTGAAATCAAAAGGTGGGCATCCAGAGACACCACAGACAGAATACTTACTCTTCCAATAATGAAGTTTGTATGAGAATGTCACCATTGCTCTCAACCCCTGCAACCATTCATAATAGAAATTATGCAAAGCAAATTGTCCCTCATCTTCTTTGAAAAGCATGGCTAGTCAAGGCACTTACAGCCAGAATGCATCTTGTTCAGGGCTGAATCCAATCATGTTTTTCCTGGGCGTCAACAGCACTGAGAAACCTCAAGATGATGTCCACCAAAACTCCTCCCATCAACGCTGCCAGTTCAATTAGGAGAGTTTTCTTTGAACCTGCTGTGGATATACTTCCCCATCTCAGTTACATGCAAAAGTCCCTTCACATGCTTTTAAGAGATAACAGAAGCTATTTATGTCAAAAAAAGAAGAAAATCTCTAATGCATCTACAAAACAGGCTTTCCTGTTATTCTTGCCTCTTACACATGCACATAAAGCCAATACAATTCAGGGTGACAGAAAAATGCATATAATACATATGCAAATATAGAAAAAAACATATAATCTTTGAGGCTCCTTGGGAGTCAGGGACGAAGGTGGGATAAAACAGCAGAAATCCGTTTACATCAAGCAAGGAGAGCACCATTTCCATCAAACAGAAATGTCAGACCTCAGCAACGTTAGTCTCCCCATTGCCAGTTGATTCAGTATCGAACACATTTAACTTGCTTTGAGGATGAAGATAGGCATTAGCAATAAGTCAGCTTCTCTTCACTTCCCCCAATATTGATGAGACAGAAGCAACCAGGAGCTATCATCAAGGCAATGCAATCTATGGACAGCATATCTCATCAAAGCATCCAGATCTGCATTTCAGTTTATTCTGGCAATGCATAAAGGCACTTTGCAGAGAACAAGGACAACAAAAGTCACCCAGGCTTAATTTAAATTGTTTTGCTTCCTTCTGCTTACAGTACACATCCCGAGGTTCTTCTATTCCCTCTGACATATTAATAGTTCAGCCTCTTTTGTTTCATGTTTGCATAAGGTTCTTGGGGAATTGTATGCAGATGAGACAAAAGGAAGAAACAGATACAGTATTTATAATTTATAGTGGTTTGAAATGTCTTCCAAGGTTTCCTCGGCTCCGAAACATATGAATATAAATTAAGAAACAAGCAATCTCCACAGAACTCAGGGAGCCCAATGTCCTTGTCATTGAAGAAGTTTTCATTGTTGGATACTGTAAAATACAAACAACGTCTCACCAGACTGTGCTACAGACCATGAAGATGGGGAGAAAAAAAGAGGGTATCTTCAACATTTGGACACAGCAATGACCTCTAAGTCTTCAGGTCACAAGGTGGGGGAAAATACCCCCAAGTGAAAAGCAACAGACAAGGGTTGTGCCTTGGTCCTATGAGGCACTACACAACTGTGATGGACACACACAGAATAGAAGATTTGAAGGTCCCTCACACCTTCTCTCTTTGTTACAGAGACATCCTTGAAAACCACATCCACATTGCCAGCTCTGCACTCATTTGTTCCATCATCCATATGTACCAACACCAAAGAAAACATCTCTTTAGTCTTAAATAAGAAAAAGTTGTTCCCAGAGTTGACATTGCAATACTGCCAGAATAATTGTCATAACTAAGACTCTCCTAAACTCTGACCACAAAATAAGATGTTTCCTCATTAGAGAACACCTGTAGCACAGCCACACAGCCCATGCTACCTGCCTCTAGCATCTCACACAGCCTCATTCCTGCTCAGCTTGCGAGAAACAATTAGCTCAGCATAAGTCCACCATTATTTCCAAGGGCATGGAGAATCAGGAGACTCCCCTTGGAATGAGTAAAGTTATAAAACTTGACTGAAGCTGGCAATCCTCAGAGGAGAACAGGTTTTGTTATTTTCACAGCTGTCTAAATACACTGGTGACAGCTTAAACCCCAGGGTTTCCAACACAGTGCAGAAAGATGGTCCAAGAAGTGATACCCCTCATCATTCATCGTGATGTTACCATGCACTTTTCCAATATAAGCACATGGAAGAATAATTAATTAATATATGCACACTTTTTTTTCCAGTAAGTCCTCTGAGGCTGATGGCAGATGTAAAGTCTCACTGCCTTGTGGAATTACTTGGAATGCAGAAGCCAAGACAGACTTCTCCTGCATTGTAACTAGTGGAGGCTGAGGCATGGGGAAAATTCTTTGTTTTAATTTTGCCTTTTTAAAAATGTATTTATTTACTTTGCAGGAGGACGTGTCTTTGCTAACCCTCAGGACTGCGCCCAGCACCTGATGAACGGAGACACGCTGAGCGGGGTCTACACAATCTCCATCAACGGGGAGCTCAGCCAGAGGGTGCCAGTGTACTGCGACATGACCACCGACGGAGGCGGCTGGATTGTGAGTATTCACGTGCTTGTCCTACATGCTGTCCCCTTCACAAAATAAATGAACCCCTACCAGCAAGGCATGGGAATGACAGCAGGCCCAGCATCACACACTTCATTTCCCACACCACAGGGAATGGCCCACGCTCTGGTAATAATAGTTACACTTGGAGAAATGCCCTTTGATTTATTTGACATGTTTCCAGTGCTTCTGGAAAGAAAAAGTCGTGAGTGAAGCTGATTTATTGTTCTAGAAATGAAATTAATGGCTGGTAGCTTTCATGAGGAATGATTCACAATGCCTGCAGAAGGAGGGTGTAAGGCATCACCCCAATTGAGTCTGCACAGGAGAACTTTAGAAACAAATGCCTGTTTGGCTTTTGAACTTCACAAACACTGCTTGTCTTGATGTAAATGGACTGACAGTGTAAGTAAATGATACCATGGTGCTTTGTTCTTATTCATGTCAAACTCTTACTTACACACATTACAAAAAACCTTGCTAGATGTATAGTCAAAACAAAAAAAATGGGCTTCCTCAAATGCTGATTTCTAGCCAGTAAATTTCCCTCTCGGTCTGCTTCAGAGCATCCCCTTGGATATCACAGGAACAGCCAGCTCAAAGCAGAACTACATGCTAAAAAAAACAGAGACACCATGTGTTGGTTAAAGCAGAAACCTCGAAGGCAAATTCCTTCCTATTCTACCATTAATTTGCTTTGGACATTATCTAATACCTCTGGTTTCTACACCCACACAAGAATTAATTGCATGGCTGCAATTAATGTCAACTGCATGGGTACTGCAATTTTCTCCCTGAAAGGCAGAATGGAAAGAAAAATTATTATCTTTGCCCTGTGTGTCCAAAGCCTGGCAAAGCCTTTTCTCATCTCCATCATATGATTTTCCCCCTGGTCTTCCTCCACATCAGGTCTTCCAGCGGCGGCAGAATGGGCTGACTGATTTTTTCCGGAAATGGGCAGATTACCGGGTTGGCTTTGGAAACTTGGAAGATGAGTTTTGGCTGGGTATGACCTTCCCTGGTTGCCTTTCACTGATGTGTCAAACCTAAGTTCCATGAGTACTGTGTCAGCTGTAGGCTCCTTGCCCTTCACCACATTTCTCTACATTCTCCCTCAGACAGATTTCCTTCTGTTCATTCCCTGCCCTTCACCTTAGGAACTCATGTAGAGGCACACCACAAAAAGGAACACTGTGAGGGTCAGCAGCTCGCTGGTTTGCTCTCTCTAGGAGAGAAGGGGGGTATGCTGTCAGTTTTCATGGATCAAAACCCATTGGATGACAGGTTGCACTGGTGGCCAGAAAGTCAGCTGTCCAATGAAAGCAGGAAAGGAGTGAGTGGGAGACAGCACAGCTCTGAAACTGAGTGTGCTCCTCCAAAACCTCACCATGAGCTAAAGGGACCTGCAGCATAAACATACTCTGGCTTGTATGGAAGCTTAACAACAACATAAGTAGCACCAGGGCTCAACAGCTGAATGTTCCAAGCTTCAGCAGCATGAAGAAATGTGAACCTGAGCCTTGAACCCACCACTCATAGATACAGGGAAGTGAAGCTCGAGTGGGGACAGAGCTCAGACCCCAGCAGAGCCAGGAGATACACAGACTCACCACAAGTGCTGCCGCTCTTTGATTCCTCTCCTTGCTCTCATTTCCCACTACTGTGTTATTTGCCTAGAGCTTTCCTTGTTTGTTCACGGAGCGGATCCGGGCACCAGGTCTCACTGGGTGTTTCACTGTCTCGACAGGCTTGGACAACATCCACAGGATCACGTCCCAAGGGCGCTATGAGCTGCGAATAGACATGAGGGATGGTCAGGAAGCAGCATATGCCTACTATGACAAGTTCTCCATTGGAGACTCCCGGAGCCTCTACAAACTGCGAATTGGAGACTACAATGGCACTTCAGGTACAGCCTCATTGCTGGCAAGGATCTTGGGAAGCCCTGTGACTGATTGGTCCAAGACTGTAAAGGAAATCCCAACATGAAATCTCACTTGTCTAGAGCAGCAAGACAAAGACCCATAGTCCTTTCTGCCTTCCTGCAGTCCATCATGTAAACCAGATAAATCACACTAAGGACACAGAATTTTCCATTGGGGATTAGATATTTAATATCAGAGACATTGCTGTTCATATAACCAGGTCAATCATCAGAGGTGTCATCTCACTTGGCAATAGCCACGGCTGGCTATTGACGTTGTGCTGGAGGCTGTATTTATCGCCTTTCCACAGCTATGGAAAAATCTGAAATCCTCTGAATCATTTCCTCACATAAAGGCCAAACACTGCCCAGTTTTGCATGGACACTGTCACACCTACTTGCTTAGTTGATTCAGAGAGAATTAGAGTTGCTCACCAGAAAAGAGAGGGTGCTAAAGGGAGGGCACAGGGGATCTCTTCCTCAAGAAGGGAGAAGAGGTACAACCGTAGCCCCTTTATCTGGGATAGATGTGCCCAGTGCAAGCCTCCATGACAAAACTTCCACCATGTATTAGGTGGAACCCCACAACATACCCAAGATGCAGGAATTTCCCTATTCAATACCAGTTAGTTGCCACTGGAAATGACAGGAATCTTTATGGTGTGCAACAAAGCACTTGCTCTAACTTCAAATCCCAGGGCACAAGGCACCCAACCTATTGCCAAGGATGGCAGTAATAGGGTCATGCAGACATGATTCTGTCCCCTTCGCCATGCAAACTCTTCTTCTAGCTGTCCAGCCAAGGAGCTTCTGCTCCACCTTGAGCTAAGGGAGCCAAGGTTCAACAAATGGTTCATTGCCAAGAGGTTTTCTTGGCAAGAGAGTCTCTCCATGGCTGGATTGCACACAGCCAGCATGGGTTCCACTTCATATGTCCTTAGAAATTACCAAGGAGCATATTTAGAATGTCTCCTGTAAGCATATTACTCAATTGACTGTATTTTACTCTGGCTTTTCTTTGACACAAAAGCAGCTCTCGAGTTATCCAGTGAGGATGAGGTTAGAGGTTTTGGTGGAATATCACACACCTTCCAAAAACTTCTTCTCCTTATCCAAAGAGAGAAAAGGTGGCCAAGCATCTTGGTTCAAGAGATGAATGTTTGGTCTCCTTTAAGAGAAACAGCTTCCTTTGGTTAACAGAAAAGAAGGAGGCTGAAAGGATCCTGAAGTTATATAGCAGAGCCAAGCCTCGAGAAATCAGGGATGCCAAAATCTGGGATTGAATTAATTTCTGAAACATTGGAATTGAGATCCAAACATGTATCCAAGCACTTTATCTGACAGAGCCAAGAAGTCTCTAAGATTTGCTATGGTCTACACTGATCCTAAACAGACAGCAGAGTATCTCAGATGAACCAATTGTGAACAATTCCAGTTAATTTATTCCCAGACTGTCAGCTGTTTGAGACACTGGAATGGTTACTACATTACCAGAATATCCTAATTTCCTTGTGAAAAAGACCAGATAACTCAGACTCCATCACCTTTAATGGGACCTCTTTCCACAGGAGACTCCCTCACCTATCACCAGGGACGCCCTTTCTCCACCAAGGACAGGGACAATGATGTGGCTGTGACCAACTGTGCCATGTCCTACAAAGGGGCATGGTGGTATAAGAACTGCCACCGCACAAACCTCAACGGCAAGTACGGAGAATCCCGGCACAGTCAGGTAAGGGCAGAGCTGGGTTGAAAGCCTCTGGAATTTCTTCTAGGGGAACATGTCAGCAAGCCTAGTTTAAGGCTGGGGCTCTGTGATTAGTGCACCAGGATCAAGACTGGTGGCATGACCCCAGACCAGCTGGAGCAAAGGGAGCCACCTTCAAGCCAACGATGCTAATACTTTGTGTCTCACACATGCTGCCATAGTCATTTACTGTAATGTGTTAGATTAAAATAATTACCTACATGAAATTTGAATCAGCCTTTGAGCAGTGGCAAACAAACAATCAAGCCATAGAAGCAGGAGTTGCTTGTTCCTGCTATAGCAAGTTTTTCCTTCTGGCTTCTCTACTGCAATCAACCTTGTTTCCTTCCTCTCTCACTCTGGTTTCTTGTTATGGTCTTTCCTTACCCTCTGCCTTTCCCTCCTGCCAGGGGATTAACTGGTACCATTGGAAAGGTCACGAGTTCTCCATCCCCTTTGTGGAAATGAAGATGCGACCTTACAACCACCGTAACATCTCTGGGAGGAAGCGACGGTCCCTACAGCTCTGAGCCAGCTGAACCCCTCTTGCCTCCCACTACCTTTTCTGTCATTTGTTTGTATTTTAAATATGAAAGGGAAAAAAATTACTACTTGTCTGAGATAGCAACCTGCCCCTCACAAATGCTGGAGGGAACCATGGCACAAGGAAAGGCCATGGGAAAGGAAAGACCTCATTGCTTTGCATCTGTCCCAGAGAAATACCAAATTTCCAGTCTCCCTATCCCAATACTCTGGCCCTTAACATGAGAAGAAAGAGAAAGAAACAGATTTTTTGATATTTTTTTAAAAGAAACAGAAATCTCCAGCAAACCCTGTTAGAAATGTTTGTCACGGGGCTTGTGGCAGGTACCTTGTATGGCCATTTCCAGCCCAGTCATGGCCAGGGATGCCCGTCTTCTCCCTGCCTCCCTGTCCCCTCCTGGCACAGAGGTCCCAAGCTTAATGGATCCTGTAGACGCCAACTCTTCCAGCAGGCAGAGGCCTGTCTCTCCCCTGAGTGTCGGCTCTGGACCCATGGATACTAAGAGAGGATGAGAAAAGGCTCATCCCATCCCCAGTTTTCACAGGAGGGCTTGGCAAATATCTGCATATGTAGGCAAACTCCAGAGAGTCCATAGCTCATGTGTTGGTCCCACCACAAAGTGGTCCTCGTATGCATATGTATGGGAATAGGAACTACTCCACCAGCCCCAACCTTCATTATCCACTCCTCCAAGCTGAACTCAGCCCACTCCAGGTCCATGACATCTGCCTGGGTTATGATGAACTTCATGGAGAAGAAAGGACTTAAATTAGAAGACTTAGGAGAAAAATCCCTGATCTTGGTCCTGAAATCTAGAACACTTTCCTCTGTTGTTTCTACATTCTATCATGCTCTCTCTCACTGAGGTCACTGGTCCCAAAAAAAACAGTCTCAGAGAAGGAGCAGCAATAAAAAGATATCACACAACTACAGCCCAACCTGAAGCCAACAGCTGTCACAGCTCAGGTGCTCCTGTTCATGGCCCTCCAAGCACACAGGAAATGATGACAATGTAGCTAAGGGAAGAGAAGTGCAAGCTGAGGAATGTTCATTTCCTTCCTTCTCCTATACCATCCCTCTTCAATGCCATCACAAGAAGAACACAAATCTCAGTGCCTTGGTATTGCCACATCTATAACAGGAAATTAACTGTTTCCCCTCCTGGAAGGAGTTCCATTCAGATTTTGGAGCACAAGGCCTTGGAAGAATTAATGGGTTTGCTCTTCCCATCCTTAACTTCTCCTATTTCAAGGAAGATGGACCCTTTGGATAGCTCTGTCTGTGCCCTATTGTCATTGACCCCACCTCCACATAGCCCAAATGACCACCATGCTTAAGTCACTCCTCTGCCAAGGACTTCGATCAATGCTGGTCATTGTCCCTGGCCTAGTCTCAAAGAAGAGACTCATCCCTGCATCCAAGGACAATGCAGCTCATCACTGGATTTGCAGCCAAAGGAACATTATGAATGCTAAGCACTGCTATCTGGTTTTGTCACACTGAAACTGCTTTGTCTCAAAAACATCTTTCGGATGGTAACATAAAGGCATCTTTGCAGTAGCTTATAATTCAGGCCAGTGTATCTTTCATGGTCACACTCCTTAATATATAAAAACATAGTTCTGACATAACTCACTATGGCTGCAGAGCTGAAGAAGAGCATTAAGCAGGAAACAACCTTCTTTTCCATGTCACATACTGGCACATGAAATCACAGCTAACACTGAGGTCAAGATTAGACACAGGACCCAGTCCTTCATGTCCTTCAGCTTACAATCTGGCCTGGAGAAAGGATGCTTAGCAACATCTCATATGTAAATAAGGTGTCCCTTCTTACTTTCCCTTGGCATCAAATCAGGCAGCCAGTTGAGGAACAGGTGAGTCAGAGGCTGCAGATGATGGGATCTCTTGCAGGACATGGTCACTCTCACAAATCACCATCTCATGCCTCCTCATCTCACCTCCTCATCACCACGTCATGCCTTCTGAACACCCAACCCTGATTTAAGACCCAAAAGACAACAAAAAGCAGCAGATAGAACTGATTAAAGCCTAAGGTAATTTTTAGTAGACCAGCAGAGTAAATTTTTCCCCAGACTATCAAGAATTTATAGGAACAAATATCCCAACAAAAGCTAAAATGGAGCAGTGGTTATCACCAGCAGAGATTGGCGGTGGATGGTGCTGTTTTCTTACCTACCCAGGTGAAAGAAAGAGATGTCAGTGGAAATACACTTATCATTAATAGTCAAGTGAAAGGCAAGAAACCTCCCTTTTCAAAAGTAAGACTCAAACAGAAAATAAAATTTTGCCAAGCTTTTCTAGGAGGTTCAAAAGAAGATCCTCAAAAAGGCTGATTATTCTCTAAACAGGTTTACTGACATGTATATCTCCCTCCCTCCTCATGTCTGTTATCTCGTTGTACAAGTCCTGTAACCAGGAGGAGTCAGCCCAGTTGACCCTGCATAGTCAGGTATGAAAGACACTCTTGGAGACAATATCCAGTCTTTCAGTGCTATTATACATCAGTGCTGGTCTCTGACCTCTCATGTGATACCAGGATGTTGCCTTTCCATGGCATTGGTGAAAGACAGTTGCTACAATCTTTTAAAGGAAAGATTTCTACACATCATGGTTTTGTCCTGGTGAAAACCCCATCCAAGCCCAGGCACACAACTGGCAATGACGACTTGGTCATTTGGGCCACCGTCCCCTGTTCACATTGTCCATAAACAAAATACAATTTCCCAGGAAGTTATTTTTCTATATTGCCCATTTTTTAAATTTTTTTTTTTACCAAGTTCCTGCCAGCAGTTTCAAGCAAATTTGTGCTTAATGTTGATGCTACAGAATAGCCCTATGATTAAGTGGTTTCTTCTCACTCTCCATCACTGGATGAGTTAGTTCATTCTCCAGCTAGACCAGGTTTGGCCCTGAAATTCCCAGAAACCAAGCCTGGATCTGGTGCAGTATTCATCTTGAGAAACCTTGGCTTCAGAATGTGAACTATTACTGGGCTCTGGTGGCTCCACTGCCATCCTAGGTTTGTGTGACTCAGGCTTGTTCCAGAGCCCAAAAAGGAACATGAAGCTGTTAACTAAATCACACTATCCACTGTGAGATGCCATCTCGTGTAACAGGAAGCAGGAAGAAGCACATCAAATCCTTCATGCAGCAGAACACCGTGTGTGCCAATGCCCATCGCAGCCTTTCAAAGCCACTTGTTATTTCTAACCCCAAAATTCTGGAGGGAAACACAAAGGGACTTCATCCCTTGCCTGATTTTCATTTCCCTCTGTTTTCATTCTCCAAGCCCACCTTCCCATTGCACACTACACTGAAACATAACCAAAGAAAAAAAGAGTCCTGAAAGGAAAAGCTGCTTTTAGTAAAGTGATAGCATCTATAAATGAATAATTTCAAGGAGAGAGGTCAGTTCCTCCCCAAGGGTAGTTGGGTTTTGGTAGGAAGGTATCAGGAGAGCATCCACACAAAGGCTGGGGAGAAGTCTGCTTCTATTCCTTATTTTTGCATTACTTTACCATGGGCATCTCAAAGCTTAGTACCAGCCTAAATGCACTCTTGCCTCCTTCCCAAGGGGATGCTTATCCCAGGTGAAGTGCCCAGTGTGGAAAGCACAGCTCATGCCACCTTCACTCCCAGTGATGCAGTTGGTGAGGGCTCAGCCAGTGGTGTCCCCATGCTCACAACAGGCTCAGAGCAATCTGTCAAAATACAGCAGGAGCCAAAGCACCCTCCCGGCACCTCACCTCCACAGCAGCACATGACCTTCATTCCAGCTCAGAGCTGCCCTCATCACATCTGGGGGTGACCACACACGCCCTATCCTGTGCCCCCCAGACATGCATGCAAGTTTTGACTTTACCAAACACTGCCAGCAATGAAGTCTCACCCCAGGAAAACCCTTTAATTCATGCTTACACCCACTAACAAAGGGCTCTGTCCCAGGGCCAAACAAGAATCCCATCCCTGTTTCTGCCAGCCAAGAGCCCTGGGATGGCCACAAAATTCAACAGAGTCCCCTGGGTACCACCAGCACCTCCAGAGTGACCTTCTCCTTTCCTAAAATCCTGATGGTGGTGGCAGCTCCTTGCCTCTTCCAGAGGGGAAATTTGGGGTAAGTGGGAGGGAAAGGCCTTTTCCTTGGAAGATCCTGATGCCTAGACCCACTTCAATACCCAGCCTGCAATTCTTCAGATGTCAGTGGTTTCTCAGAAGAATGGTGACACAAAGACTTAAACAAGCAAGCAGCCCCCGTGTATAGGTGTTATCCTGGAAACGTTCTTAATATGTTAAATAAAGTTAAAAAACATAAATAAGAAGGGAGAGCAGAGGCAACAAAATGCCTTGGACAGCTTCTGATGAACTCAAACACAAACCACTGCAATCAAATGAGGGGGAAGAGAAAAGTAAATAAATGCATAAATAAAATCTATATTAAAAATGAATAATATATTAAGCAACTCTCCCCACCCTGTAATGAAAATGTAGCTTGGAGAATGGGATCAACGCTTGTTAACAATTGTTAACTAGTATTTTTAGTCCTGACCGCTCTTAGGCTATGTATAGTTCCTTTTTTTAATGCATTTTCTATACATTAATAAAAGATACTGAAGGAGTGAGCTGTGTGTCTGTCTGGGAATGGGGTGGGACCAGGGTCCTCGTGCATCCAAGACCATCAACATTCCAGCCACACAACCCCTATCCCTGATCTTTGGTTATCCCAGGGGAGGAGCATGGAGGGCTTAGCACGGATTCACATTCAAACCTGGAGGAACAGAGCAGCTGATAGATCTAGCACATACAATGTAATAAAAAAAAACAGTGAGAGGAAGTTTTGGGGCAGCCCAATTTTGGCTGGTGGTGCTACCTCCATCCTTATAGGTGTTTAAGACCAGGATGGAAAAAGCCCTGAGCAACCTCATCCAACCCCAGGACTGCCTTGGGCAGAAGGTGGGACCAGTGACTCGCAAGTCCCCCCGGGCCAAGTATGCTGTTAAAATAAATAGCACTAACGGGGCCACAAAGTCAGGTCAGCACAGTCAGTCCATGAACCACAGGAAGGCAGGGAGCTGCGCTTTGGCCTCAGCCCAGCACAAGACATTCTGCTATGAAATTCAGCTGCTCTCAAGAGCTAGAGAGGCTCTTGGCTCTGCAATCTGCAGCCAGAGAAAGCGAAGTTGTGGTATGAATGCTTGGGAGCAAAGGGAAACAACCCCAAAATCTTCATTGAAAACCATTTGCCTGATTTAAACAGCAATTTATTCCCAGCACGATGGAAATCCCACCAAAAAACAGATTGGAAGGCT